GGTATTTTTCTTTCTCTTTCTGGCTTATCTCACTAAGCATGATCTTTTCCAGCTCCATCCAAGTTGCTGCAAAAGACATGTGTTTCTCTTTTTTTGGACCACAATTCTTAACCTCCTTTCGTCCCCTGGCCCACATTGAATGACAACTCCATATTGCTCTTTATTTTTGCTTATTCTGCTTCAACCAGTGTCAACTCTGAGAGCTATACCTACAAGAAGTTGACCTTGGACCTTCCCTAGAGGCTCTTCAAACTAACTTGTAATGATTTATATTTCAATCTCACTCTCCTGGCTTATGTAGACATTCATATTTAATTTAACATTCTTAATTTAAACACTTAACAATGTTTAAGTGAAGAAATGCCAAGAGGGAACTATAGATGGTTGATCAGAAAAGGCAAATTAATTCAGGAAAGTTCTAGACCACCTAATTACCATTGCCACATTTTACATATCACTCCTGGGATAAATAGTATTACCAGTTAAGATTATAAGAGGATTGAGAAAAGAGTGCAATAAAGTGATCAAAGGAGTCAAAGAATCTTAACTAGCTCTTCAGGTGCAGATGAGGAGAGATTTGCAGGGGGAAAAATGAGGGATGATTAGCAATTCTCTCAAATTCACTGTCCACTGAGCCCCTGGTAAATATTAGTGATAGGCTCGGTGCTGCAGATATATAAGAAGGTGGAATATTGTTCTTGTCTTCATGGGACAAATAGTTTTGGAGGAGATAAACTATACAGAAATACTAAGAATATGAAGAACATACATACTGAGCAATAACAAGCTATGAAGAGTAGAAAGTGATTATAGAAGAACCCCTCGAACTTGATGAAATCTGGGCCAGAAATTGATCAACTTATCAGAAACATGGCTTATAAAACAAAATTCCGTGGATCATAGCAAAAAACATTTTAATGTAAGCATAATGTACATTGTTCCCTGACTCTTGGATACTCAATACCTAAGCAAGGAAATGACCCCAACCCCAAGGAGACTTTCAGAACATCAGAATTGCCTCAGATCAGGGCCTTCCTACATTTCTTACTCTTTGCCACTGTCTCAGTGATTCGCTGTTCTGAGCTGTAGTTGGACCACACTTGTCATTTTCAGGGGTCAGTTTGCCTTTTCCTTGCACAACATTCAGAAACATGTTTAGTAAGCGCTCTTGAAATGGATAAGTGACACCACAGGGGGAAAATAGAAGATTAGATCCCAGGAAATCTGAAACACCTCCAATCAACCCAAAAGGGCACAATCCATTCAATGGAAATAAAAATACTTACACAGGTCTTCATTGTCTAGGACTCCTAACTTCTGGCATTTCTTTTCATTACCTACAATTGTCACTAGGTGGCAGCAAATGCAATATAATATAATATATAGAACAAACTAGGACTTTCCTCCCTTACATTTGAAAATACTATGTTTAAAATGTTAAAAACTTGAGGCCACTCTTTTCAGTCCGTTGGGACTCTGTAAATTGTCTTTGAAGATTCAAGCAACATTTTGTTCAAATTACCTGAATGTCACTTCTATTTCTGCTTTAATTTTGATATTAACTAGCTTAAAAAAAACAAAAGATTCTTCCTCAGCTGTGTCCAGTCCACTAATGATCCATCAAAGGCAGGCTTCATTGCTGAACAGCATTTATATCTTTTTAGCAGTTTTTTAGCTCTCAAAATTTCTGCCTCTGCTTACGTTACCCAGTTAACATGAAGCCTAATTTACCCAGGCCCTTTCTATATTAATAGCAACATCCCTTCCATGTGTGGTGCTGAGTCTCTTGTTCTGTGAGATTGTGTTTGGGGGATGGGTGAGCTTTGATGTACTTTTAGTAATGAATGAACTTTTTTTCTTTCTGTTAGCCAAGCACTGTACACTGGTGTTTTGTAACAATCCCAGGTAGGTTCCATTGTCAGTTCTTGCAGAGGAAAAGATAACCTTGGAGGCTTCGTAGATTTCTCCAGGCCTTTACTGCTGAATCAGAGGCAGACCCGCCTTCTCAGTACTTCTCTGTCACAGTAACAGATGCCCTGCAGACCACAGGTGCTGGCCATAGATGCTAATGGTGGGAGGAGGTAACAAGCCTGATTAACTCCGTTTATCCCGCCACTGGTAAAAAGAAGTGCTGTGGATGTGCCAGTCATAAAAGGGCAGCGAATGAGGCTCAACTATATTGCCAAGACTCGTGTCCACTCCTTTAGTGAGCCTGCGCCTCCGGCCTGCCAACTTCCTAATCGTGTCTCAGGGTTTCTTCTGCCACCACATAGGTGGTCAGGATGCTCACAGCCAGTGGGAGCCATCCGGCCCCCAGGTGAGTTAAGCTCTGATAATACTAGCAGGTTGGGTGATGGGTAATTAATTTCCCCTGCAGGCAGGCCTTATTAAGAGAGGAAGACGCTCTGGCTCATTTCAAAATGGTTCCTTCTGCCATATCCCCCAGAAACACAAGTTTCTGGGCAGGTGACTGTGAGAACTGGTCGAGCTCCTGGGCAGCAATCTCACATTGCCAAGGGAGTCGCTCTATGGCTGGGTCTTCCAGGCATTCAGTTTTCAAGCTGCCCACATGGAGCCTCAGCCACTCCTTATGACCACGCTCCCAGCCTGGCTCTGGAGAGGCCTTCCCCAAGTGTCTGCTGGTGAGTGCCACCGCCTGTGGCCTGTTTTCTGCCCACGAAGCTTGGGGCCAGCTTCTTCCCTGCATTCTCCCCTCTCTTTCCACTCTGAAAAGAGTTTTGCTTTTACTGTCTGTTTAGCATTTTACTTGTTAGGACAAAGGGGGCGACATCTGGCTTACATGCACAACCAGACTGCATTTAGTTTTTGTCATAGGATTGTTTGCTTTTTTTTTCCTTTCCCTTTCCTTCTGTTAATTTGATTGTTTTCTTTTAGTTTATTTAGGTGTAAGCAAAAAAAAGTACATAATTTTTAGATGTGCTTCTTCTCTAATAAATGCATTTACGACCATTAAGCTTCCTGTACCAATCGTGATAAGCGAACATAGATAGAATGCTATTTGTGGCATTAAATGTGTTACGACTTACTTTAGGTGCTGAAAATGACCAGTTTGGGAGAGTGTCCAGTGTATTGGAGGCCTTATTTGTAATCTGTTATTGGATAGAGCATTCTAGACACTCCATTTGGGTCATGTTTGTGAGTTAAATATGTCAGAATTTCTATGTCTTTATTCTGTAACCCTTTCAGATTATTGATTACTGAGAAACATTTATTGTAGTTGATTATTGAGAGTTTATTGTAGTTTTCCACTCTACTGGTCATTTCATGGCTTCCTTGAATTTTATCAAATTTAATTTCTATATTGGAAGCGGTATGACCTGGTGGGTACAGATTGAGAATTGCTGTGTTCTCCAGGGGCCCTAGTTTCTTTGGTCTGTGAAATATGCTCCTTTTTCTCCAGCTAATTCTCTTTGTCTTCAGAATCTAGTTGTAAGGTAAGATACCAGGGTTTGGTTTTCTTGCTTTTATAATGCACATTTCTTATTTCACTTTCAGGCTTTGCATCTTTAATGGCTTTCTAGTTTTTCTACATCATTGTGATGGCATTCTGTTAATTGGAAAATTTACCTCAATTATATTTAACAATTGTAGTTATGTTTGCCTTTAGATTTCTAACCTTTTCTATTTGACATGTTTCTTTTTTTGACATGTGTTTAATGGTATTTTTTTTACATATGGATTTCTCTCCTCTCTAATTTGTTAGCTACACAATATTTTGTCTTTTTAT